GGCGGGGGCCCGCCAGCAGCTGCCACCGGTTTGTGTTGCAGGGACGGGGAGGTGGCGGCCTACCTGGAACGCGCCTCGGCCGGGGGCTCCGCGCCGCGGGACGCCGGGAGCCGGACGGTGAGGGTGGGCGGAGCGGGGCGGGCGGGACGCAGCGGCTGCCGGGATACGAAGCGCTGCTCGGAGCCCGCCGGGTGCTTCCCCGACTCCTCTCGCATTTACTTCGCTCGCGGCGTGGGCTTTAACTTCTTGACTGGTACCATGTGGAAGGATGAGGCAAAGCATGGTGTAACTGCCGTACCGGGGCTTTTTCCTTAGGAAGATGCTTCCTCTGACAGAAAAGGCAGTTCCAGTGCTTCAGTTCAAGGTGTGTGTGCGTGTTTCTGTGCATTACCGGTTTGTGTTTTGTCCAATTTGCACTGTCCTGATGGCTTTGGTTTACTTACTGGGATCAAAGAGCTCTATCTAGAAAGGCAGAACAAGCCCTGTGACAGCTGGACAATTTATCAGTGAATGAGCATGCGGGGAGAAGGAAAACTATGGGATAAGATTTCTTTGCTTGCAGAAAGATGGGTCATAGAGCAGCAACTAAGTTAAGAAACTGGACGAGATAAAAAGCTGGTTTTGTTTATTCAAGGGATGTTCAGAGTTGAAAAGACCTTCGCTCTTCACATCTCTCATTCCAGATGCATCTCCTGCCCCTTCGCGACTCGCTGTTTCCCAGGAAGTTTACTCAGGTGGCAGCATGCGGGTCTGGTCCGATTACCTCAACGTGCACTTGCATCCCAAGAGCATCTATGTCATCCGTCAGTACATGCACGATGGGTATGTTCTAAAGGTTTCATTCAGAATCTGTTGTCCAGAACAGGATCTTAGTTTTGACTTCAAGGAAAAATTAAGAGGGGATAGAATAAGCCCCCCCCTTTTCTTAGGGAGTGTGGTTGCCTAGAAGCCTTTGGACAAGGTGAAAGTCTCCTGCAGGATCCTGGCTGCATAGAGGAGTTGGAAGATCGGTTGCACTTTTATGTTGAAGAGTGTGATTATCTGCAGGTTTGACAGCTTAGTCCAAACTCCCTTTTCTTTCAAGAAACTTTCTGTTCAAGATTAAGTAGAATCTCAGCTGCTGCTGCCATTCTTACACAGGGGTTCCAAGTCCTCTGTGACCTACACAATGGATTCTCTGGAGTTGGTGCCAAGGTGACAGAACTGCTCTATGATGAATATTCAGGAAAAGGAATCCTGACCTGGGGCTTGACTCCAGTCATGAGTAACATGGGAGTAAGTAAACAATGGGGAAACAAAACAACAGGTGATGCTTTCATGCCCAATCTGGATTAGACTGTTTGATTGCATCTTTAAGATTCTAATGGTTGGATTTTTTCCCCCCAGGGTTCTCAGAAGAATTTTTACAGACTGATGAACACAGCCCTAGGAATTGTCCATCTCTCCAGTCACAGCTCGCTCTTTTGCCCCCTGTCACTCAGTGGGAGTCTAGGAATCAAGCCACAACCTCCCGTTACATTTCCATATATAAACTATGATGTATGTACCATAGAGTGGTTTACCTAGAAACAACACCTACCATGGCTGGCTTTCAGCTCTTTCAGATATACCACTCTCCAAAAGTGTTTTCTGCAGCTATGTTATTTTAGCAATGTTTTTTCATGATGGTGTTCTACTAAGCAGAAAAGATTTTTTTTTTCCTGCTTTTTCACTGTTAGCAGAGAATTAACTGCCAACTTTTCACTCCCATAGTTTTTTTCATCCTTTAAAAAACATTACATTTTCTTTTTTGCAGTCTTTCCATTGGTTTACTGCCTTCAGTTTTGTCACTGAAAAAAATGGTTTACTGCATTATTCTTCATGTGCTGAGTATGTAACACCAGCCTTGTCTGTGCACTAAGAAGCTGCTGTCAAGAAAAACAGCAACAGATCATTTGTTAGCAAGCAGTTGACTTGCTTATCCAAAACCTGAAATAACTGTTAAAACACAACGTATATAAAAGCACAATTTACAATATGCTCAAGTTAAATATACAAAAATGAGTTAAGGAACAGATGAATTTAACTTGTCCTGTAAGTCTTCCATGTGTCTCCCTCCATAGGCATCACTTAACTACCACAGCAGCGCAATTTTGGCAGCAGTGCTTGACACCCTTACAGCTCCTTACCGGCTCTGTTCCTCTCAGGGCTCTATGATGCACCTTGCTGAAACACTTAACTTCTCTGGGAGAAAGGTAAGGGCATAGAGAACAGCAACCTCTAATCCTTTCAGTTCTACCTGAACTACTGCTGTGGGCAAGAGCTGGTGTTCTACTTCACATCTGTACATACACACATAACAGGACGGGGGGAGTGTGTTCTAGACTGATTTGTCTCCCCCTCTCTGACTCGTAGGTTGTGGCTGCGTGGGCTTCTGTTCCCTTTCCTGCTCTACATGGCTGCTCGCTCCCTGATACTTTATGTGCCTACCAGCAAGACATGCCCTGGAAGCTTCTGTCTTCATGTAGGGAGCAGAAGGTCAGCTGCTGTTTTGCTCAGTCTGTTGTGCTACGAGGAATTTGCAAAGAAAGTCACATCAGGTAATCAGCATTTCAGCTGCACTTTTCCCTTCAGAACTCACACTATCAACTGTGGTGGTTTCTTAAAGTCATTCACAATCCTATTAGGAGAGTCAGCCGAATGAAGAAAAAACTGTATAGTAGTGATCTAGCCAGTTATATGCTACTAACTTTATAGCAAAACAGCTAAAAAGCAGCTGAGTCACCAACACTTTCAGTCAAATCCCCTGGAAAACCATGAATTGGTTTTCTTTGCAGCAGCTGTCCAGAAAAGCAGGCCACTTCTCCACTCCATGCTTGTGAGAGCACTGAGCAGATTCTGCAGCATTATTTACACACTGTGTTTCCTGGGGCATTCAGGTTGGTAACAGTTTTGTTTTGTTTTTTTTTTTTAGAACAGGGAACAGTAACTTGCAACTGAAGGTAGAGCAAGTTTTGGATAACTTTATTCACCTTCTTCCTTACAGCACATCCCACGTGCTTGAGCAGCCATGTAACACCCTACCTCCGTACCCCCAGTTTTTTTCTCCTCTTCTGACCAGACAAGGCTTCCTCCTGGACAAACCTCCCAGTTATTCCTCAGCAGGTAACAAGTGCCCCTTAAACTTACTTTGCAACAGAAAGAGATCATGTGGGGGCAAGTAGGGTCTAACAGAGGTAAAGGAGAATTATTAAAAAACCAACAAACACACAACACACTTTTGAGTGTTTGTAGGGCAAAAATTATTAGTGTTAAGCAGCTCTTCTGCTACGTTGAGCTTCAGTAAAGCAACTGCTTGTAAAGTAAAATAGAGTAGGGAAACAAATTTTGATTGGTCTGTTTGAACAAAGATATTTTTCCCTGCAGCTGTTGAAAGCATCCCTGTACTAGCAGCCCTGCAGTCTTCACCGGTTCTGCACACGCTCCTCTACAGCTTATACAAGGATCTACAGAAATTGAACACGCGGCGATGGCCCAGCTTCTTCTCTGCTGGAGTTGAACCGGATGACTTCCAGGAGGCCTTACAGGAGCTAAGAACTCTATCCCAGTGCTATGAAATGGGTTCTGAAGCAGATGAATCTGAAGATGAAGCAGATGCAGACTAACTCATCTTTATTACTAGAGATAGTGGAAGTAAGAATATCTTTAAAATCACTTTCAAAATAAAGGGAACGGCTTTAAAGATGGCCCAACTGCTACTTTCTTTTCAGTAAAATCCTGCTACAAAGGCTGGCTTAAGTTCTCCAGCTACTTGCAGTTGTGTTGTAAAGGAGGAAAGCTGCTTTTTTGGGGCCTGTTTTTGTATGTTTGTTTTTTTTAAAACTTTGCAAAGTGAATTTGCTCTGCCTGTTAGAATAAGACCACACAATAAATACAGAATTCAGATTGTAACTTTCCCATGTACAATCAACACAAGGGGAAAACTTACAAAAAATCATGTGTGTGTTCCACATGAAAACAGACATCTTATGATACAATATTTACATATTCTTTTCAAAGGCTGGTGGCCCATCTTCACCATGCAGTGAGGTCAATGTCCACAAGCATCACTTCTGTCATTTAATTGTTGCAGCTCCCCATGTAGGTTCTAGAGGATGTTATCACCCTCATCCCTTTCTTCATTTCTTTAGTTTGATACAGATTGAGAACTGCAGCTTGTCAGAAGTGTAGCAGGAAAGTGAACAACAACAACAAAAAGGTGCTATCTTAAGTACCTGTGCAAACATTTTTCCTTTATCCACAGCACCTGTCTAGCAGCAAACTGGCAAAAAACTCTCCTGATGCAGTCAATAGCTTATCAAGCCAGAATAACCTTAGTCATCAGGTTCTTCCTCAGAAAGCAGAAGATCTTTATCTGACAACTGGTCTGTGTTACTGGTACTAGTTGCATCCTCCTCATCTTCAGAGCTCCCATCACAGGATGTATGAAACAGCCTCATCAGTTCTCTGAACCTGTGGGATACCTGAAGAACAAGGGAAATCCAAGATAACTAGTGACCTAAAAGGCAGTATGAAATGGAAGTTTCACGTTATGGAGTTGAGGGTGTTTTGTGCATTTATGTTAAAAACAACCCCAATCACATTTTATGGAAGATTCGATCATGAAGGAAAATAGAAATAGAAGAGCACTGGGTTGTTCTGTCTTCTTTGGAAGAAAGTTATATTCTACTGACTTGCTGGTAAAAAACCGGCAGTTTGGGAAGATTCCTAGGCAGTAATATGAGGAATGTTAAGAGAAAACCCAACAGATTCCTTGTGTTGAAGCAGAAGGCTAAAGACCCAAGTAGCAGTCACTGAAACAATTTTGGTACCAAATATAAGGCTAGAATATCAGTGCTAATGTAAGGAGGACCGTAGCAGT